AGGCCGGTCGTTACTTACACTACCTCGAAGTCGATCACCGAGAACCCTCGAGATGTCTTGATGATCGTAAAATCGAACCGTCGATTTCTACCGTATACACCCATCATCACCAATAGTCACATCCCTAGAATCACCGTGCTAAACCCTGTCCTTAAGGACAAGCAAATGAGGATCATCATACTGGCGCTCTCTGATGCGACTGAATAAGGAAGACCGAGAAACCACACAAGCTAGGACCCGACTAGGCTCCGAAATATCCAATCTCACAAACCGATTGACCAAGGCCTGAACATCAACTGCAAGGGGTCTCTCACCAACAGGAAGGAATGCAAGACTACCCATACTCACTGCCTTTCTACTCAAGGTATCGGCCACCACATTGGCCTTTCCCTGATGGTACAAAATGGTAATATCATAGTCCTTTAGCAGCTCCAACCATCTCCGCTGCCTCAAATTGAGATCCTTCTGCTTGAACAAGTGCTGGAGGCTACGATGATCAGTAAACACCTCACAAGACACTCCATAGAGATAGTGCCTCCAAATCTTTAACGCTTGAACAATGGCAGCCAACTCCAAATCATGAACATGATAGTTCTTCTCATGGGGCTTCAACTGACGCGAAGCATAAGCAATCACTCTACCCTCCTGCATCAAAACACACCCAATGCCGATCCGAGAAGCATCACAATATACGGTATAAGAACCAAAAGTTGATGGCAGAACTAACACTAGAGTTGTGGTCAAGGCAGTCTTGAGCTACTGAAAGCTCGCCTCACACTCATCCGACCACCTAAAAGGAGCACCCTTTTGGATCAAATTGGTCAAGGGCGATGCAATAGATGAGAAACCCTGAACGAACAGACGGTAATAACCAGCCAAACCAAGAAAGCTCCGAATCTCTGTGGCTGAGGACGGTCTGGGCCAACTCTGAACCGCCTCTATCTTCTTCAGGTCAACCTGAATACCCTCGCTGGACACCACGTTCCCCAGGAACGCTACTGAACTGAGCCAAAACTCACACTTGAAGAACTTGGCATAAAGCTTCTCCTCCCTCAACCGCTGCAATACAACCCTTAAATGCTCGGCGTGCTCCTCTGGGCTACTAGAGTACACCAGAATATCATTAATGAATACAATAATGAACGAGTCGAGATAAGGCCAAAAAACGTTGTTCATCAAATGCATGAACGCTGCTGGGGTGTTGGTCAGCCCAAAAGACATCACGAGGAACTCATAATGGCCATAACGGGTCTTGAAAGTTGTCTTAAGAATGTCCGAGTCTCTAATCTTCAACTGGTGATACCCTGACCTCAAATAAATCTTGGAGAACACCCTCGCTCCCTGAAGCTGGTCAAATAATCATCAATACTAGGCAAATGATACTTGTTCTTGATTGTGACTTTGTTCAATTGCCTGTAATCAATGCACATTCTCATGGTGCCATCCTTCTTCTTCACAATGCGACACACTAGGCTGGATAAACCGCTTATCAAGGAGTTCCTGAAGCTGCTCCTTCAATTCCTTTAACTCCGCCGGTGCCATACGATACGGTGGAATAGAAATGGGCTGAGTGCCCGGCACCAAATCAATAGCAAAGTTAGCATCCCTGTCCGGCGTCATGCCCGACAGGTCTGCAGGAAACACATCCGAAAAAATCTCGCACCACCGGAACTGAATCAATAGTAGGAGTCTCTGCACTGACATCCCTCACGAAGGCCAAATAAGAAAGACAACCCTTCCCAACCATCCGTTGGGCCTTCAAGAATGAGATCTCTCTACTGGGAAGATAATCCAACGAACCTCGCCACTCAATTCATGGCAACCCCGGCATAGCCAACGCTACCGTCTTAGTGTGATAGTCCAGAATAGCATGACACTGAGACAACCAATCCATTCCCAATATCGTATCAAAGTCAACCATACTAAGCAGTAACAGATCAACTCTAGTCTCTAATCTCCCAATAGTCACTACACACGACCGGTATATACGGTCCACAATAATAGTATCGCCCACCAGCGTAGATACACAGACATATGAAACTAGAGACTCAAGGGGCATGTCTAGATAATGAGTAAAATATGACGACACATATGAATAGGTGAAACCAGGGTCAAATGATACAGAAGCATCTCGATGACATACGGAGATAATACCTGTGATCACTGTGTCTGAAGCAATGGCATTTGGTCTGGCAGGTGTCGATACTTTTCCCTATATATTTTTAATACACATATATACTTTCAAAATAGCATATATGCTTATATAAGCATGCACAAGCTTTTTTATAATTTTTTTTTAATTTTAAAGGCTTTAAATTAATTTATTTCTTCCTCTTTTACTTATAAAATTTCCAATAATTATCCTTCAAACTATTGTTGTGGTAATTTAGCCATCTAAATCCTATATTTATGCCAAAACATTGCTTAAATATTTTTGTGCATTTTTATAATTGCATTTATATTTTTAAGCCAATTTGCATATAATTGCAATACTAGCCCTATTAATGCACAATTACGTTATTAATGCATAAAAGGGTCTTTTATATTTATTAAATATTAAACAACTATTTTTAATCATTTCCAGTACATGATTTTTTTTTTGGAGATCATTTTATTATTTTTTATAAATTGTATAATACTGAAAATGGCTATTTAAAACTTAGCCTATTTTATTTCAATTTGTGCCTAAATTCAACCCAACCCAATCCCAATACCCAGCCCAATTTCTAATTAAATTACCCGACCCAGGCCCCAAACACATTTTACCCGACCCAGGCCCCCCCAAATCTTGGCCGTTGATCTCCGAGATCAACGGCCCGGATTCACCCTTTCCTAATTAAACTAGCCTATACCCCCCCCCCCCCAAACCTAATTCATTTCATCACCTCCTCCGCCGCCCTAAAATCCTCTCTGCTCTCAAAACACTCTCAACCTAAACCCTAATCTTCAAACGCCGACCTCCCATTTTCGGCCATCTCCGGTGACCTCTCATCATCTCTCAGGCCTCTAATTGCTTCTCTCATGTCATTCTTGCCTTCTCTAAGGCCCTCAAGGGACCAGGGCCATGCTGACTTGCATCTAGGGTTCACCTCCTACCTGTTCCTGGCCATTCCAGTGTGATTTCAAGCGAAATCGTTCTATTTTTGCTACGATCTACGGGTTTCTAGACAGGTTTCTTCATTTCTGTATGGGTCTCTTCGAAACCCTAATTCCTTTTCTATACCTACAGATCTAGGACGATTTGAGTTTGTTTCTTGAGTGTTTTACAATAGCCTTGAGATTTTTTACAAGAATCGTTTGATTTCAAATGATTTCTTCACCTTTTCTAAAACTAGGGTTTTCGGAATTTCTTTTAAAACTTTGTTCAAATGATTCTTTGTGTTTAAACTTCTATTTCTCACATATTTTGACTGATTCTATGAGTCTACTACAGCCTTAACTCGCCTACGCTGAAAGCCTTAATTTTTTTTGGATTCTTCATTTGGTTTTTGAGTATTAGCATGACTGACC